TTTTTTTATTATATCTATATTAATAAAAATATAATAAATAAAAAATATAATAAATTAATATTCATTTATGAATAAAACTAAAAAAAAATCAAATAAAATAAGACCTTCCAAAATCTTTCTTTGATTTAAACTTATCCAGTTCAAAATCTTGACTAAAATGCCGCAATGTGATTCAAAAATTGAAAATAAAAATTCATAATATATCATAAATTCAAAGACAGAAACATGGTTCAGAAACTGAAAACAAAAATTCAGAACATAACATATACTAAAAGAGTTCAAAGAAATTATTGAGAAAAGAAATCATCTAGGTAACGCTGAAGGGAAACCCTAAACTACAAAAATTCAGGTTGTACCTCCTCAAGAACAGGTTGTTATTTTTGGGGTACATCATCAATGTCTTCAAGGGGAAACACCGTTTCGTTTCATCCTTGACTGTATAGTGTCAATTTAGTAGTAAGTTGTTCACTCTAGTTTGACTAACAATGAAATAAAACTTGTTATCATTGTCCTTAGTGATACACTGCATCGTCCTTAATGGTATAGCCCAAATGTTTAGCAATTGAAGTTATCAATCTTCATTAACAATATTACTAAATCTAGTGTTTGAAATGCTTTGTACTTTGGTTTTTTTTTCACGAAATTCTGGAACCGTTTCAGGTACAAAATTTACACACTAATAGTGTAACCAGAATAGGTCATTCTGGTTTCAGAACGGGTCGTTCTGGTTCTAGGTGTATTCAAGTATTTTGAGATCCACCTACGTGGCATCTACATGGCATCTACCTGACATCCACGTGGCCACCAGTTAACTCATTTAAATCATTTAGACAGAAGTCTCAAATTGCAATGATAAATTATTGGGGACCAAATTAAAACCTAAAATTAAAGTGAGACTAAATTAAAACAAAAAAATATTATAAAGACCAAAAGAGGTTTTTAACTTTTTTTTTTTAAAATTATTTTCTCTTCGTTCATGCAAAATCAATCTCACGTTTTTATCGTGTAATTAGTACTAGTAGTGTTATATCAATCATTTGCCACGTCATTCCCCCTCGAATATTTTGGAATTAAATCAAAAAGACAATATATATACTTTTTTCCTGGATTATTTTTATTTATTTATTTATACATTTCTTCTTTATTTTTCTATTTCCCAAACCAAACTTGCCATTAAGTTGGGCCGAAAAAATCCCGAAAGACCACGTGTTACACGCGTTACCACCAAACGTGCCAAAACAAAAGCAACACCAAAAGGCAAAATAAAATAAAACTAAAAAAAGAAGAAAAAAAAACCTGGAAAACAGAAAGAAAAAAAAAATGAAGAAATAAGGAAAGAAACTTTCCAAACTCCAATCTTCTCTACATCTCACACTGTCCGATTCCTTACAATCACATCCTTAGTTTTATTCATTTATTATTATTATTATTATTATTATTATTATTTATTTATTTATTTATTTGTGTGTTTAACGACTATTCGCTAAGAAGCATAAATAAACTCTTTTGTGTGATGACGACGTGCGCGTTCTTCAACACATCGGGAATCATCGCCGGCGATCGCCTTCACCGCCGCCGGTAGGTAGCAATTTGGCTTCCACAGTTCGACGTCCGATGGAACCGTAATTCCCAAAACGACACGAGTCTCTTCCCGCAATCCCGTCGTTTACGCCCTCCCTCCCACGTTCCCGGTCGTTTCCGCGTTTCGTTGACGGAAAAGCCGAACCCCTCCGAAAGTAAAAGCACGCGCACTCTCTCTCTCTCTCTCTCTTATTCTCTTATTCGATCCCTATTAAAGCGAATTCCGTTATTTCCGCACCCGCATTCGAAACCGCTTTTTGCCTTTTGGGAATTGGGAAAGCGTTTGGAATGGGGATGAAGAAGGCGTCGCCGGTGACGATGGATCACGTGTTGCTGGCGTCGCAGGAGACGAAGGAAGCGAGGGAGGTGAGGATTCGGTGCCTCTTCGATTTCTTCGACAGGGAGAATCGCGGGTTCTTGGATTACGAGCACATTGAGGAGGGTCTCTCGGCGCTGCAGATTCCGGCCGAGTATAAATACGCCAAGGATTTGCTTAACGCTTGCGATGCCAACAAGGATGGGAGAGTGGATTACCACGAGTTCAGGAAGTACATGGACAACAAGGAGTTGGAGCTTTATCGCATTTTTCAGGCCATTGATGTTGCGCATAATGGTTGCATTTTGCCCGAGGAGCTCTGGGAGGCACTTGTAAGAGCAGGCATGTTCATTTTTTTGCAAATTCACTCTCCAATTTTCATCCATTTTTTCATTATGTTTCCATGTTGGTTTGTTTGAGACAGAATTGTGTGTAACTTGCTGTCTAAATCTCACATTCACAAGTAATATCGTAGTATAGTTAAATTAGTGTATATAAGTGAGAGCAGATGGAGTTGGGATAGGTCTGAATTAAAATTCTAAGATAGGATCAGAGTCTATTATAAAAGTTGTTATTAGGCTTATGAGTCACCTCACTCACCTGTTATTGGGCTGTTACTGATCAACTCAACTACAGATGTGTAGTCCTCGGCCTGAGAGAATGTGTTAGAGTGATGTAATCAAAATGGTACATTTTAGTGGGGGACATCTTTCACTTCGTAAACTAGATTTAAGGGTTGAGTTTTGCTTAAATCAAAATTGTAAGACTTGCATCTAGTTTGGGTTGGCCGGGACAATGAATCATATGTTTAATTAAAAGAAGGCAGATTTCAACCAGGGCGCTATGTTTAATAAAAAGGAAAACGTTAATTGTTTGATACTAGGCTATGTGCATCTTCTTGGTATTTTGTGTTAAATTCGGAGAAGTCCTGATTACATTTGCTGATGTAGTGGTGCCAACGTTGCACTTTTTGGCATATTTCTTTCTGATGAAAGCAATTTAACTATAAGATTTGCTTACCTGTAAAGGCTCTGGTTGCATTGTAGAAAGTTGAACGGGAAAGGAAAGTGAAAAACACCTATTAAAAATCTTTCCTTTACATGTAGTCTTCTTAAGAGTCTATTTAGATACAAGTTTAGAAGATTTTTTGAGAATTTCTTTACTGAAAATAAAAAGTTTTTTTTCAGTACACAAGTTCTCAAAAACATTAGTTACATGAACTACTGTTAAATTTCAGAGTACTCATAAAACATTAATGAGTTGCTCTGTGTAACTTTATTTCTAAGCTCATCTGGCCTTGTTTGATTGACAAATTACACAAGTTTGCCATTTTGTTTTTGTCTGCCCACAGTACACAATGGACAACATACAGAATACAGGTCCTTTGCTTTCTATCTGATTGAAAATGTTGAATTTGGATTGAAGGTTGCTAATTTATTTAGTGGATTATTGTTGTGACTTAGGTTTTCAGTTTTCTTGATTTTGTGATGTACTTTGGTGGTTATTTCATTCAATAACCTAGACTCTGTTGTAGGGATTAAGATTGAGGATGAGGAACTCGCCCGTTTTGTTGAGCGTGTTGATAAGGATAATAATGGTGTTATAACATTTGAAGAATGGAGGGATTTTCTGTTGCTTTACCCTCATGAAGCAACCATTGAGAACATCTACCATTATTTGGAGCGGATGTGTATGGTTGATATTGGGGAACAGACTGTTATTCCAGCAGGCATTGGTAAGCACATTCATGCAAGCAGGTATCTGATTGCAGGAGGAGTAGCAGGTGCAGCATCACGCACAGCAACTGCACCCCTTGATCGTCTAAAGGTTGTGTTGCAAGTCCAAACAAAACGAGCTCATATAATGCCTGCAATAAAAGACATATGGAAAGAAGGTCGTTTCTTGGGATTTTTTCGAGGCAATGGCTTGAATGTAGTTAAGGTGGCCCCTGAGAGTGCTATTAGATTTTATACCTATGAGACGCTGAAGACCGTCATTTCAAGTGCCAAAGGGGGAGAGGCAAAGGGTGATATTGGAGGTACGGGGCGGCTGCTAGCTGGTGGTCTTGCTGGTGCTGTAGCTCAAACCGCAATATATCCCTTGGATCTTGTTAAAACACGACTACAAACCTTTGCTTGTGAAAGTGGTAGATTCCCCAATCTTGGAACCCTTTCAAAAGATATATGGGTTCAGGAAGGACCCCGAGCATTTTATAGGGGATTGATTCCTTCTCTTCTTGGGATTATCCCTTATGCTGGCATAGATCTTGCTGCGTATGAAACCTTGAAAGATATGTCCAAGACGTATATTCTTCATGATGGAGGTTAAAATATAAAATCTTATTCAAATGTGATTGTCCATATCAGATATTTCCTTCCCTTGTGTATTTAAATTCTGTGGTTTTCTGTAGAACCTGGCCCTCTAGTACAATTAGGATGCGGCACTGTATCTGGAGCTCTTGGAGCAACATGTGTTTACCCACTGCAGGTGGTTAGAACAAGGTAAACTTTGGCTGTAAAATGTCTTCAATTGTTGTTTAAAAATATATAGTAACTTTTACCGTTTTGGCTTTCCATGGAAATTACAAAATGAAACCCTTGTTGATTTCAGAATGCAGGCCCAACGCTCTTACAAGGGAATGGCTGATGTATTCAGGAAAACCTTGGAACATGAAGGCTTTAGAGGATTCTACAAAGGAATATTTCCTAACTTACTCAAAGTTGTACCTTCAGCAAGCATCACCTACATGGTTTACGAGTCTATGAAAAAAAGTTTGGATTTGGACTGAAAAAATTTACTTCTTGGTAATTAATCTTATTGACATGGCTGACCGTTGCAACTACATATTGGGATTGGTTTTGCAATGAAGACGTTGATGACAAGAATAAAAGCCTACAATTGATTATTGAGACAATTGTCTAAACTCATTTTTATTTAAATAGCATTAGATTCTTCAAAATTCTTGAGAGGACAAAATTGGTTTGTCCTGCATGGTGCTTCATTAAACTAATTTGAAGCTTCATATCAATTAGCTGAATTTTTGTATTATAGAGAAGCATATTATACTCAGTTAGGATCCGATTTTGTAATTGTAATTTGTAATATTTAGTGGCTCAGATTGATCATCTTACTCTTTAAATTAATACTTCCATTTATTCCTGCCCCATTATTTGTTCGATTACTTTTGAGTTGGTAGAAATTTTTGGAATTATACCTTTTTTGTGCTGTAATTTTTTACTATTTCAAAAGCTTTCTTGTCCCACGTTGATTGTTTTAGTCTATCTTCAAGTATATAGTCTTGGTTCGATTTCAAGAGGATAGTAGTTGAGGTGGCTTTTGCATGAGTATTTTTGCTCTTTGATGCACGGTTAACTTGACTTAACAAAATAGACATTTCATCTCCAATTTTGCCCCATTATTTGTTCGATTACTTTTGAGTTGGTAGAAATTTTTAGGAATTGTACCTTGTTTATGCTGTAATTTTTTAGCATTTCAAAAGCTTTCTTGTCCCACGTTTATTGTTTTAGTCTATCTTTAAGTATATATAGTTTTGGTTCGATTTCAAGAGGCTAGTAGTTGAGGTGGATTTTACATGAGTACTTTTGCTCTTTGATTCACGTTTATCTAGACTTAACAAAATTGACAACTCATCTCCAATTTTGCTTGATGTTGCCACTTTATTTGTTTTCATTTATTTTTAATAATTCTATATATAACATAAAAAGAAACTAAAAAATAATAAAGCTAACTAGACTTCCTAGATCTCATTTTTATTGGTCCAACTTAACTAATTTATCTTGGTTTATTTGGACTTAAAAAAAAATGAGGCCAATCAATTTTGACACTTCTACATTTCTCAAACATGAAAAGAGGCCAAATATTTTTATAGTGGAAGACTATTAGGATTAGTAAAGATCGTTGGATGACAAATATACTCGTACCCGCGGGTAATACCCGAACCCGTCCCGACTTTGACGGGAAATACTCGGTTTGACCGGGTACGGGTACGGGTAAAACCCGATATATTAAATCGGGTACGGGTACGGGTAAGTATTTACCCGTCCCGTACTTACCCGTACTCGTCCCTGTTCCCATTTTTAATTTAATACCCACTTTTAATTTAATTATATTAAAGAATTTTAATATTTTTTTATGTGTGATTTTTTATTATAGTATGAAATAGATAAATAATTTAATTATAATTATAATATAATAAAAAAATAATTTAAAAATATCATATTTTTTTACAAAAAATAAAAAATAAAAAAAATTGACGGGTACAGATACTAGTACGGATATACCCGATACCCGACGAGGACGGGAATAAGGATGAAAATCACATACCCAATGGGTACGGGAACGGGATAAGTTTGACTTGCAGGGACGGAGACAAGTATCATGAAACCCGTACCCGCCCCGCCCCGCTGCCATCCCTAGTCACGAGCAGGTAGACTAAGATACATTCACATATTCTTTGGCTAGTGCTACCCTTGGCACTTAGAACAAAGCTATGACAATATCACCACAATAAAGGCCTTGTCCAAAGTTACCCATGACAAGCCTTAACCACATGTGCAAGCCTCATCCAAAATCACACTTGACAAGTCTTGACCCTTATGTGTCAGCCTCGACCATAAGGCACAACCCTTAGTTTTTCTTTGCGCCAAAATATGTTACATTTGTGACCAAGATGGATATTGCTACAAATTATTGATACTTTGTGGCGATTTTAAACGTCCAGAATATTCAATAAACTTTTATTTCGTTAATTATACGTGCCCGATTAAAATAGTTCTTTTATAAAAAAAAAAAAAAAAACTTATAAAATCAATTAAAAAAAAAAAAACAATTTCTAACTCACGAATAAAAGCCGCACGAAGTCCAGCCACCAAAATCATTTCTCACAAAACCCGCACGGATTGAATTTCATTTTTCATACGACCCGCACGCAAGAGAAACACGATGAAATCCGCTAGGGCACGCCAAGGTTAGTGAATTTAGGTTTTTCTACTAGTTTTCTGTTCTAGGTTTGTTTGAATGTTGTGTTGGCCTTGATACTAATGTTGCACCTTGAAAACCATGTGTGAAAACCTTTTTATCACTCACTCTTTGTGAAAATCTTTTTACCAAACCTTTTCAAACAAATTTGTGAAAACCCTTTTTGATCAAAGATGAGTGATCATTCTAGTGTGCATGGTCATAACTCTTGTAGTACTAGGTCTAGTGTTAGGGATGAACTTAGGCAATTAAAAGAGTACCTAAGAAAAAAAGAAGAGGAAAATATAAAAAGAGAGGAAGAGTTAAGAAAAAGAGAAAAAGAAAATGAGAAAAATAATGAAGAAATAAAAAGGTTGCTTGCTAGGTTA